CAATTTATTTATGATCCAATCATAAACAAAAAAAATATACACTGTAACTTTCCATTTAAATTATTCTTTCATATTTGTATTTATTGTACGAACATTTAAACTTTTATAATTTTTTAAATTTATATGGGATGTAGAATTTGTATTTTTATGCTTTTTCTCCTTCCAAATCTAAGGAAGAAAATTGGGGTTTCTTTATTGAAAAAAATGAAAATTGTCTTTATAAAAAAAAATTTAATTTAGAAAAAAAAAAAAAGGGCCAAAATTCGTTGGCTATGACCTCTAACAAGCGGTGGTTCTTCTACTCTATGAAAAGACTTTGGTAGTTTGATGCGAAAAACAAAGCCCCAATCCAAGGAAGGAACGACTTTTTCCCCTTCCGTGGCTGAATCATACGTTATCACTTGAGCCATACCAGAGAAAACCCACAAATTAAGGTCCCTTTATTTGTTTTTTTGTTTTTTTGTTTTTTTTTTACGATTTATTTACCATAATTTTCATATTAATTTTAACTAAATATTTATTTTGAATTCAAAAATAAAAATCAAATTAAAAGAGGTTTAAAAATATATATATATTGTTTTATACGCTTAATTTTTTAAAATAATAATAAAATAAGTTCCATTCACTCTTTACTATTAAAAAATTATTTAATCCCATATATTTTTGTTAATTTCAATTTAATAATTTATTAGACACAAATTAAAAATGTTAAAATTTTCGATTTTTTAGTTGAGCTGATCTTTTGTAATTTTATTTCTAATAATTTACTTAAAAAATGGCTTGAATTTTGAAAATACTTATGGATAATAAACAAAGAAATTAATAATTATCCGACCACTTAATAATTTAACATATTTTTAATTTGATAAAATCATTTCTTTTCCACTCCAAAATTCATTCTAAAACTGAAATTTAATAATTATTATGTTATAGAATTAAGATAGAACAGATTTATATAATAAATAAGAAAATTGTTGAAAATTATTGAGAGTGAATTCCATGGAATAGATCTCATTGGTATGCAGCTTTTTGGAAAATCAAAGCAAAAGGACGAGAATTTAGAGTCAAATGAATCATCTGAGTTTACCATATCTTACTGTTATTATATTATTTTAATTTGATGAGGCGGAAAAATTAGGCGTGGAACGAAATTGGAGGAGGAATTATTTTAATCATTGTATATTCCACGTATTTGCAAATTAATTGAAGGAATATTATTAGTCAATAAATTATTTTTGTCGTATTATAGACCCTCCAATTGTTTTGGTCAGGGTAAAGCGATCAAATCAAAGTTGAAATTTGGAGTGTAGAGAAAATGTGAGTCACGACAGTCTCTTGCTGCCAGTCCTTGGCTCCCTTTCTTCCTTTCACATTTTTAGATCTTTAAAATTCTGTCCTTTCCCTTCTAATTTTCTTTTTTTCAGTTAATTAAATGTGAAGTCGGGAATTTAAACGTTCGATTTAAAGGAAAATGGGAGATGTCTCCTTCGAATTACGTTCGTGTTGGCATTCTGCTCGCTTTAATTAGCAATTTACGTAAAAATAATTATAAAAATATATGATCGTCTCGAAAAATAAATTGAAACGTACTAACAAAATGCTTTGTTTCAATGATTATTTCTGTTTCTATTATGTTTTTACTTAGAATTTAATTATCATATATTAAAATGTTTTTAAAATTTTTAATTTTGTGTCAGTTTAAAAAAAAATTATTAGGTTTTTAAATTTACAATTTTCACCTAATAAATTATTGAATTTTTATACCTAAAGTTTGACGAATATAATTTATTTATATATTTTTAATTAATAAATTTAATAGTCGTGAAATAGACCGCTTATAATCATCTCATACCAAATTTAATTTGACATTTAATAAATTAATTAATTTTTTAAAAATTCACATATATTCGTCAACCATACAAAATTAAAAATTTAAATACATAAATCATAGATTTATTAAACTTGTAATTAAAAAATAATTTTTAATTTCCAAAACTCTAAAATATAGATTAAAAACTAGAAATCCATATTTCTAAGTGTTAATAAATTTAATTAGAAAAAAAAAAGTTAAAAATTAAATAATTATCAAACAAATACCTAATTTATTTAGAATCTATCCGAATAAAAATGAGTTTAATGTGAATTTTAATTTAATATATATTTAAGAAAGGTGTGTTTTTACACTACTCTTAATTCAAAGTCAAATATGCTCATTTGATTGGTAATATATTATTTAAAAATACTTTAAATTCCCAAAATTGTTTGATCCAACTAAAAATAAATACTGCGTATGAAACTCTCCATTAAGTCAACAACGCCAATATATTTATATTTTAAACTGATTTTTCAATATATTATTTTAGCCTATAAAATTTAATTTTTAAATTTTTAAAAATTATTGACAAAATATAATAAAATTATTATTTAATAAAATTATCATATATATATATATATATATATATATATATATATACTAGTAAATAAAAATAATTAAGAAAAACGTGTCCAAAATATTCCGGCAGTTTTAATAAGTCAAGGAGGAAGAGCCCAAGCTTCCGACTATATATATGAACGTGTTTCGCCATTTGTATTCAGTCTCTTTCGTTGCTTGCTCGAGGCTATACAGCAAACTATGCAGTCTCCGCCGCCGCCGCCGCCGCCGCTGATGGTGGTTCTCAGCCCTTGCGCCGCCTGTAAGATCCTCCGCCGGAGATGCGTCGATAAGTGTGTTTTAGCGCCTTATTTTCCTCCGACTGAGCCACTCAAGTTCGCCGCCGTGCATAGAATATTTGGAGCCGGCAACGTAATCAAGTTTCTGCAGGTAAATGTCAAACCCAATTAAACCATTTGTGCAATATTTATCTTAATTTTAAGAATTATTAAGAAAAATGTTTTTATTTACGTGCATGATAAAATACATAAAATTAATCAAATTTTAGTAAGAAACACTTTAGAGATTATTAATTAATTAAGTTTAACAAAATTATTATTTTTTGTTAAAATTAGTAAAGTTTTAGAGATATATCATTATTTTTAGTCGGTACAAAATTAGGGTAAATATTGATATGTCTTGTTAAATTTATAAGGGTAATTTTTTTTTTCTTACCGATTTGTATGGTTACGGGAGAAATATAATATAATGCAGGAACTTCCAGAGAACCAGAGAGCGGATGCTACAAGCAGTTTAGTATATGAAGCCAACGCTAGGATTCGAGACCCCGTCTATGGTTGCACTGGTTCAATTTTTCAGCTGCAAAATCAAGTGAGCGAGCTCCAAGTGCAACTAGCCGTGGCTAAGGCTGAGGTTCACAAGATGCTAGCTCAACATGCAAATTTGTTAGCCCTAATGTGCACGGAAACAAGTCAAGTTCGAGTTGAAGGTCAACAAGTCCCGGTCTTGCGCCAAGACCACTTTCCATTTACTGATTTAAACCCTATTCCACATAATTACAAATCTTCCAATATTTTTTGGGACTCCTCATGGACTTCATCATAGTGTTCCATAGATCGTTCGATGCATGTTTAAAATACACGAAATGGGAGCGGTTCTCGATCCGATCATAAAGGTATAAAAGAATCTATTTTTCATTGAAATCCTATGGTTGCGAGCTGTTTTGTTAATATCCAATGAAATTCGCCAAAACGAAAGAATGATGATCCATCCACATAATTAATGTGGTTGATTGTGAAATTTCAAATAGGTTGAAGAGAGGAACGAAACATTTTTTTTACAAGGGTGTGAAAACCTCTACCTAGTAAACATGTTTTAAAACCGTGAGGTTTACGACGATACGTAACGAGCCAAAGCAAACACTAGCGATAGGTTTGAGTTGTTACCCTCGTAGATTTGAATTCTTAATTCTTTGTCAAGACTGGTTTAAAATAGTTGGTAGCTTTCTTTGGTCCGTTGACTTTTTGTCTTTTTATCGTATCTTCGTGTTTACTTTATATTAATCCGTTATTTTATTATTAAAAGCTAATTCATTTTAGGATAATTTTCATGTATTTACGTAATTAGAAAATTCCACAAAAAGAACACTGCTTCTTCTCCAAATTTTGGAAAAAAAAATAATAATAATAACATTTTCAAACGATAACTATCACTTAAAAACAAGTTTATTATTTCATAAATTTATTTAAAAATATATTTTTAGTTTTTATTTCACTTATTCGTTGTAAAAATCATATAAAAAAAATGGAGGGTTCTTATTATAAAAATTCATTTTCAGAGGACAATTTATTTTTAGGAAAATTATAATTTTTTTTGGTTAATAAAATTTAATATTTATATAAATTAGTCTGTAAAATTTTATATTGAATAATAATTAAAAAAAATGTTATATTTTAACCTATAAATTAATATACACCAATGTGAAAATCTAACGCTCCCAATTTTTAATTCCAAACTAAATATTTCACGTGTTGTGTTGTGGACCGTTCATCAATAATGAGAGAGCTAAGAGGATTGCTTCATACCATTGGATTGAAAAGCTCGAACATGATGACGTTTTTTTCATGACGTTTGATGAAACGAGAGTTTAAAAATGGTTATTCTTCATTCCCCACTAAATTCTCGATTTATTTTTGTAGAGATTGGAGCGAAAATTTCAACGGAAAATTCTTAGACACTCCACGATGATTTTTTTTCATTATATATATTAAAAATATAAAAATATTATATTAAATTCAAATTTATTTTATTAACAAAAATATAATAAAGTATTAGAGTATATTTAATAATATTTTATAAACAAAAAAAATAATATACGGTTTAATATATTTTTAAAAATTTTAAATTTCGATTTAAAAAAAACATTAAATGTAGTAATAAATGAAGTAATTCCGAAGTATAATTACGTAATAAGGCTTTATAGAGATGCTAAATTGCTAATAGCTAATCTTGAACTCGGAAGGGTAATTACGTAATTATGCAGTGGACAGAAATCCTTTCACCAGGAGGCTGTATATATATTGTCCGTCCCGGGATTCTACTTTCATTAGGGTTTGAGTTACTGCCGGTTTATCTGTTCACTCGGCATTCTCATTTGGGCGTTTCTTGAAGAAGTTGCAGCATCTTCTTAATCAGCCGTCATGGGGTACGAATTTCTCTCTTCTCTGCATTGTCTTTCTTTCATGGCGTCTTCTCTTCTTCGTCTTCATCCAATTATGTTTTCTCGAAGAAGTTGCAATCGTTCTGTCTGCTCTTTGACTGATTGCTAGGAGCCTCGATTATTATTATTATTATTTGTGTTCATATTGTTTGTTGAATCTTCATGAATAATCAAACGGACGCGGTGCTACTTTGAGCAACTCTGAAGGCGTCATTTCGTTCGGATCTTTGATTTTAGTCTGGTTGTTTGGATATTAATCTGGAAATTGTACACTAGGAGAAACGATGTTTCGAGGACTACTTTTTTTTTTTTTTTTTTTTTTTTTTTAACTCAAAAGTGGAATCGAGGCATTCGTTTATTGCCTCTCGTCAATTGAAATGTCTTGGTTTAAAACATTTACTGATACGATCTAGTTAGTTTATTGATAAATCGATAGGTTCGGAGTCGTGGACAATCTGTTAGTCCGATTCCGATTATGTGAGTGTATATGGTTAGAGTTTATTCATTAGTATCGGTGGAAACAGCTCCCTAATTCATACCCTAAGCTTGAATTCTATTGTTGATAGGCTCTCTCTCACTCTCGCTCTCGCTCTCTCTCTCTCACACACACACATTCTCTCTTCGCTTGTCCGTGTAGTTGAAATAATCTATCTGATAATACGAGTGGAAACAACTTTTGGAAATTCAAACCTCAGATACTACGTTTGGATATGTTTGTTTGCAACTTCTATTCCTAATTTCTTGGGAGTATAGTTGAGCCTAGATTTCTCATCCTAAATCTCCATATGAAGGTTCCGTGGTTATCCGGTGAGGCTCTTTATCCTCTTTTTTTTTTTTTTTTTTTTTTTGTT